TCATACATTCGTGACGCATGAAAATCAACGTGTATCTATGTACACATATATGATACATGAAGAACGTATGTATATACATATGTGATACATGAAAAACAACGTACATAGAAAAAGAAAGTGTATGAAGATACATACAAAGAAAGTGTACGTATGTAGATACGTAGTACATGAAAGTTAAACAGTTATAAGACGTATCCAATTTTATTGTGGGTAGAAGTTTCACTAATTCAGTCACTTCCAAAACGCGACATGTAAGATAATTCATGGTTTATTAAGATGAACCTTGCCGAACTGATAAAGTATGGCAACGATAAGCCAAATCATAGTGATCCATTTTCATCGCTTATTTCAATGACGAATAGAAAAATAGAAACTTAGAAAAATTGTTATCGAATCAAGTCGAACATAACCTTCAACAGCTATGAATGATGTACTGCACTTTTGTACGGGGCGCGTTTCAGACTCAAAGAAAATAAATAAATAAAAAGAATACAGTAATAAATGAAGTTGATAGAAGAAAGCAGTTTAAGAAAACGTTTCTGCCGTTTGACCAGGCTGGCCCGGTCTCGGCGGTTGATCTATCTAACTAAATTATGATACATATACGAGATGTCTTTTTCATAAGTGTGAATTTTATGCTATATATACATATATCAACGTATATGTATTAATTAACCTTGTACATACGTACACGCTCGCATGCAAATATATACATACATACGTACACATGTATGTATGCGAAAGTTAATGTGATTCCATTGCATTCTCATGGGGCAGCTTTTTGATGCAGTGTAAGTAATTAACAAAATTAAAGTTGCGATTGCTGATATCGATCGAGAGTACGAGTCATTTAATAGTTGATCGATTTATTAAGTCTTCGCCGAATAATGGTGACGTAACTAGCTGGGACAAGTGACTTTTAAAAATCATTCTTTTCTGTTTAGGTTTATTTGTTAAATTTTTAATTTATGCAAGAAGAATGTAGTTCTATTGAGAGTCGGATCTGATAGGGGATGGTTGAAGATAATACCCTTCAATAAAAGTATAGTAATAATTAATATTGTGAAATTGGTGGTATAAAATTGGAATTTATGAAATGTTTACATGTTTATAACGGGAGGATGTAGTTATAGCTTATGATTTATTCAAATTTCCAAATTTCCAATTTCCCAAATTCTCAAATTCCCAAATTCCTAAATTCCCAAATTTCCAAATTCCCAAATTCCCAAATCCTCAAATTTCCATATTCTCAAATTCCCAAATTCTCAAATTCCCAAATCCTCAAATTCCCAAATCCTCAAATCCCCAAATGCTCAAATTCCCAAATCCTCAAATTCCCAAATTCTTCAATTCTCAAATCCTCCAATTCCCATATCCTCAAATTCCCAAATCCCCAAATTCCCAAATCCTCAAATTCCCAAATTCTTCAATTCTCAAATCCTCCAATTCCCATATCCTCAAATTCCCAAATCCCCAAATTCCCAAATCCTCAAATTCCCAAATCCTCAAATTCCCAAATTCCCAAATTCTCAAATTCCCAAATCCTCAAATTTACAAGACCAAAAATTGCAAAATTTAGAAATTTTCAGATCTCCAAATTTAATAACAGAAATAGTTAAATATTGCTATATTGCAGACGGCTATATAACAACACAGTACCGACTCTATGTTTATCATACGTCCACAAAACACGTTGTATAGTATAATATTTTAAACAAAAATGTATCTGATCCGTTTTATCTCATTGATTCCATACTCTCCTCTAAATATATTTACTTTATTACACATACTAATTTTTGTATAATAGAATCCTTTCTACTGTGTAAAATAATGACTTATTACCAATGATTAGTTTCCTAATAAAGTTTATAACATATTGATTAATAAATCTTTATAATAACTTTAAGTGAAAATAAAAATATATATTGCTTTATCTTATTTTATTTTTCTCATCAGAAAATTATATATTAAAATGTTAAATACAACTTTTACTTAAATACGCTTTTTTGTATATTTTTTAATACACACTGTAAACGTGCCAAAATAAAAACGTTGAAATAAATGAACACATAAAATTTATTTTACACACTTTACTATGTTTAATATTTTAAAATTGCAATTATTCTCCAACATAACACGACTTCAATTTCTGAAAATTAAATACTGTTTCATAATTAAAATTTTCCATTACAATTTGTTGTAGAAGAAACGCTTTTTTTTATAAAAAGAACTATAACTTCTGGTTACGTCACCACTTAATATTTATTGTAACAGTACATAAGCGTTGACACTGCATTAGGAAATAAATGCATTGGAAAAAAGATATAAAACAGTCTAACGAGAACACGTCGACCTTTAATGAAAATACATAAATAAATTGTAAGTAAAGTTAACCATTCTCGTGCCATAATTTTATTGTATATTCAAGTCAATTTTGTTCATGTGCATGTTAAGTTAAAATTTATACTGAACTTTTAGTGGCTTTCTTTTAAAAATCCCTTTAATATCTGATTTTGCAGAAACTTTACTTATTTTTGTTTTCAAATTTTTGTTAAATCGTTGTTTCAATTTTTCTGCGATTATTTATCTTTTTTAAATTTGTTGTGATTTTTTATTTTTGTCAGTAACGTAACCAGATGGGGTACACAAGTTAATAAGATTATTTCACCCCTCAAATTATAGATTATTTATTTAATCTTAAAAATTATTTAAAGTTATTTTAAGAAACTAATATTTTTAACAAAAATTGAATTCTTGTTAAAATATTTAAAGTTCCCTATTATTTTTAGCAAACAAATATTTTTGATCCTCTTTACGATTTTGGTTACGTCTCTAGTCATTAATTTCATGAATATTTTTCCAAAATCTGCAGATAATTTAAAACGGAGCTCGACGTACATACAGATAAAAGCAACTGAAAATGAAATAACTGTAATAATAATATAAACGCTAAAACGATAGAGATACTTCTTCGTAACCGTACATTACTCAAAAGAAAAGTCGCCAAAATGAGCCGAACACTATTATAAGTAGTTATTATAACGTTTACCGCGGCATTTTGTCCGGTATATTGCGCGAATATCGAAAAGTACGAAGGTAGAGAAGAATGAAATATTTAAAAAGAAAGAATTCTTTTACTAATACGAGCCAATGTGTAGTGTGAGTTTCGTTGTACTTAATTAAATTAAGAAGAGAAAAACAGATGAAAGACATTGTATGAGTAGCGGATAATTAAATACATAGAGTTCTCTTTGGCGTTATTATGTAAACTCTCGGATAGTATTCATTCTTGTTTTAAGGTACTCGTAATACGAATAAAACAGGAAAGCGTAATACACTATAAAGAAAGGCTATGGTCCTCTTAAAACTTATCACTACGATACTATGTTAATGTATCATTGGCATTGTTGAAGGAAAAAGTCTACATGTAAATAAATATGAAAAACATTTTTATAAATGATGGTTGTTTTATGTTCACCTCTCCTGCAAATATTATTACTATTTTTGTTACTGTTCGCAGTAATATAAATTATTTTAAGTGAAAATAATGTAAATTAAGTAGAATGATGCAAGCATTATTGACTATAAATATTTGAATCTATTTAAATAGCAACAAAAATAAAAAACATTACAAATGAGCTAAAAATTCAAGTTTATTAATTCAATGCAAATTTATTAATATAAATCGCAGATATCGAAATAGCTGTTAAATAAATTATGTACGATGCTATATTTTTAAAAGCTTTTTCAAGGTTTCTAAATTTGAAAATTTCTAAATTTATTTTTCTGAAATTCTAGAGTTTCAAAGTATAGAAATTGTTGTTAGGCGTGTGGGCGAGAAATAAATGATACAAGAAGTTTTGAAAGTACTATATATAGATATTACAAAAATATTCATATTATATTATATAATATTATTATAATATTAAATATTATATTATACATTATTCTATATAATATTAATATTAATATTTAGGTGAATTGCACATGTAATTCGTGAAAGAAGATGGTGTTATCGAACGCTCTGGCCGAAAGGCCCTGACAGTAGCATATGCGCGCGCAATTTGAATCTCCCTTCTCAATAGACATTTTTTAATTTCAAGTTTCTTAATATCCAGAGTTTTAAAGTTTTGAAAGTTAAGAGCTTTGAGTTTCCAAAATTCTAAAATTTGTAAGGTTTCGAAATTAAAAAGTTTGAAGTTCCCAAAATTATAGAATCTTAGAATACTAAAATTAAGAAATATCCAGTTCCCAAAATTGCAGAATCTCAGAGCACCAAGTTCCCAAAAATCGCAGAGTTTCAAAGCCTCAAAATTTTGAAAATTTCAAGTTTCTAAAATTCTAAATTTTAAGTTTCAAAATGAAAAAATTCCAAATTTGCAAAGTTTCAATATTTCAAAGTTTCAAAGTTGAAAAATGTGAATTTTCAAAAACTGCACAGTTGCAAAGTTTCAAAAACTAAAAATGTCAAGTTTTCAAAGTGTCAAAATTCTAAAGCTTCAAAAATTAAAAAAGGAAGTTTTCAAAGTGCCAAAATTCTAAAGCTTCAAAAACTAAGAATGTCAAGTTTTCAAAGTACCAAAATCCTAAAGCTTCAAATACTAAAAATGCCAAGTTTTCAAAGTGCCAAAATTCTGAACCTTCAAAAACTAAAAATATCAAGTTTTGAAAATACGAAAATTCTAAAATTTCAAAACTGTAAAATTTCGAAATCCTAAAGTCCCATTTTGAAATAGGACTAAAAATGGATAAAATTGTTTTTACTGTCTATATTAATATTATTCAATATTTATTACCTATCAAATAACTTCTTTCGCAACACAAAATTTAAATGCAATTATAAGAACAAAAGAATGTTAAAAATATACAGAGGTAATTAAAAAACACACAAAGATAATTAAAAAATTGTTTGCATAAAAGATTATTTATCTGACAAACGGAAAATTTAATGTATCAGAATTCATGCAATGTGTATGTAATGTCTGATATGTATAAGTCTGGCAATCTTATCAGAGTCGTGGTAAAAATATTTCTCGCCGTACGATTTTATACAGTAGGCACGTTATTGCTTCACAAGTTCATCTCGTATTCCACGATGCCGGTACGTATAACCGTATACATAATCGATTTAAATTACCAAAAATAAGATTTGTACTCTTTTCAAATATTTTGACAATATTTTTCAGTGGCTTTTACGAAAATTATTTTATTAAAATAAATTTTTATTATCAATGAGTATAATAATATTAATAAATTAATAAGAGTATAATAAAATTAATTTTGATGGCATTATTGTAACTGTCATTAAATTGATGAATATAAATATTTAATATATTATAAATAATATAAAATTTTCATTATATAATGTTATTTAAACTAGTTATATTAATTATGTATTGATTGTGTTAGTTATTTTAGTTATATGAATAAAATATACTTTCAATATCGGATCAATACGTTGCGGATGATGAGAAATATTGGCAAACTGTCATACACATACATGTTATACAAATTATCTTATTTACATTGATGTTTGTGATAAGCAGATTTCAGTTCTAAACTTACATAATTTATCTGTATGTGTTGTAGAGATACGAACAAATCTTGGTTTCATTCTATAATTTACACTTTACATCAGCAGTTATTGTTTACAATAATTCTATGAAGTCTCCCATTTAATTTACATTAAATAAAATAATGAAAATTAAGTAAAATAGTGCAAGTATTATTCACTATAAATACTTAAATATGTAGAACAACGACAAAAATTGAAATAAGCTAGAAATTCAAGTTTAAATTTATTAATGCAATATGTAAAATGTAATATTTTATTAATTTTTGATTGTAGAAAGTACCATTCACTTTTAGAGGACTTATCGTCCCCGTGTTTTCGCCGTTTAATAATGACAGGTAATTCTATTAATATAAATAACAAAACGAATACATACAAATTTAAAATAATAAAGTTAATACATAATGTGATGCGATTCGTGAGAAAAAGTAAATGTTAAGTTAAAAATGTAATTTTATGTTGCTCTTAATTTTTTAATTATATTGATATTCAATATATTAATTCTAGTCTACACATATTTAATTTGTTTTTAACGTTAAACGTTGAAATAAATATTCTGTCAATATTTTCCATTATAAGAACATATCTGCTAAATATTATTTATTGTTAATAATAAAATGAAATTACATACGTACGTTCATTTTATAGTAAATTATTTTGAAGCCATTAGAAACGAATTATGTATGAGTGATCAATTTGATACTTTGTTGAATTTGAATAAGTTGTATCATTCATTAAGATATAAAATACTATATTAGGTTATTTTTGTTACCAAATAATTTTAAATTTTATATATTTAAAAATTGATAAATTAGTTTATCAACCAAGAATATCCACCAATCGACTAAAATTATATTATTACTTTATTTTAGCACAAGAAGTCTAAACTTGTCAATCATACCACAATATGCCAACTATTTAGCATCAAAGAAGGTTACCGGCATTCTTGGTAAGCAAAAATTAAACCTTCCTAAAATATAAGGACACGATTTGTGAAATATCTTGTGACCTTTTATTTTTTGACGTTATTTTTAATAGTAAATGGAACAACTGGAGAAGGACCATCTCTATCTCTGACTGAAAGGAAGATGGTTGCCGAAGCATGGGCAAACGCTGTAAAAACGACGAAACAACATTTGATGATTCAAGTTGGAGGCGCACCCCTTCCCGATGTCCTTGAACTCGTACGTAAATAATATTCACGGCTATAAACTCTATATAGCAAATAGAAATAAAAGCTTTCTATACTAAACAATAAAACGAAATAAACAATAAGCACACAATTGAATTGAAACGTTTACACTAAAATTACCAAAGTGAACAAATGACCATATTGCAAATTTTTTATTTTAAATTGTCAAATTTGATGAGGCCATTTTTTGATAACTGTGTTGATTTTCATCGAGGTAAAAAGTTAATGTGAACTTATTGTTAGTTAACTAGCAATGAAGACTGTTCATGTATAAATTGGATTAGTATATCAATACAAAATAGATAAAATTGAATCGTTCATATTCATACAGACTATTTCTAAATTACAAAATGGTTGTTCTCCACCTCTTTAATAAGTATATAAGGTACATGTGTAAACTAATTTCGTTAAATTCACAATTCTATGAATGAAATCTTTATGAAGACTCCCTATGAAGTCTTTTCTTAATAACATATGAACTTGTTCGTGATTAATATTATAAATTATAAAATTTGTCTTCAAGGCAAAGCATGCTGAAAGCATCAAAGCAGACTCCATTCTCTGTTTACCGGAACTATATTTCAAACCATCGACATCGACGCAATTGGCGGAATATTTGAAATTAGTTGGCTCTGCAGCTCCGAATACACCTCTTCTATATTATCATATTCCAATGTTTACTAATGTGAATGGTAAGTTAATTGATAGAATTATTTAAAGTCTATAGGGATTTATACGGGTCTATACGGAATTTGAAATCTATATCTAGTAGATTTGAAATTTATTATTTTGAAGTCTATACAAAAGCATGTACTTACAGTTCTGGAAAATAGAAACTATAACCCTGTGGTATTGCAATTTTGCAATGTGGTATTTTATTTTGACAAAATTGCAATAAAAAATAAATTAAAATTACAATAATTCCATAGAGAAAAATATACAATGCAAAAATTAGAAATTTTATATGTAAATTAAAAATGTTATATTTTCACTATTTTCAAATAAGTATATTATTTAAAAGAAATGAGACATAGCAGGTTGGACTATAATTTGCACTGTTAAATTCTGTAGAATTTTGATTATTGTAATTATTGTAAAATTTGTACAAGTTTTCCTTTTTCTTACAATCAGTGATTTACTATTCTTAGCTAATTCTTGTGCACGTAAAGTGCTATAAGATAAGTAAACAGAGAACAGCATATATTTAAAAAATAATTTTTTCTAGTGCATATGGGACAATTCCTTGAATCTCTTGGTGAAACAATTCCGACATTCGTAGGAATAAAATTCACGAGTGCCAACTTGGAAGAAGGTGCTCAGGCATTGAATGCCCACAATAAGAAATACGTAATATTCCTAGGAAATGATCAGGTAAATTATATATTCACAATTCGTTTTGTCTTCTTGAATCATTTTTTAAGTAATTTTATTCATACTAATTTGAGCATAATAAACGTATGATATGACTTTTCTTATGAAAAGTGACTTTATTGACACTCACTATTAATAAGTGAAATACTAATCTACACATATTGTGTACTACAAAGTAATAAAGTAAAAATACAAATTTCTAATTTATTCAATTTTATGACAAAAATTATGGACTTATATTTAGTTTCATATAGTAGTTCTATTTATTTTATGAATTTTACTTTATTTATCATGTGTAGTATAGTTTATTTGTCTTGACTTATTCTAGTTAACTTTTTTTACTTATTTTCATTTAATTTTATTAATTTTATTTATTTTAGTTAATAAACGCTGCCTGTGCATTAGGAATGGATTCAGTCATAGCAACAGGCATAAATATGCTTCCAGAACTTGTATTCGAAATTTTCAATGAAATGAAAGCCGGAAACTTGTTGAAAGCAAAAGAAAAACAACAACAACTCACAAAGGCTGTGATGGTTATATCACAACATGGTGAAAATGATTTACTATCTTTTAACGCATATTACTAAAAATAATCATAATAGTTATATTATTAATTTATTCTTGTTTATAACAACAGATGTTACTCTTGTTTAAAATTTTCAAACTTCATAAGAACAGCGTTTAGTCGAATGTGTGATGAATCTGTTAATTATGAATTAATTATACTATTAAATTTCAGGTAACTGGGTAGAAACTATGAAGGTAGCAATGCCCTTATTAACTAATATCAACGTTGGACCTACACGCGCACCTTTGAAAGTTTTACCCCCGCAAGTTAGAACAGTGATGGCAAAAGATTTACAAATTCTAGGATTTCATGTAAAATTGTAATCTAGTAAAAGCAGCAGACATATGTGAATGAATATAAAAAATATTTTTATAAAGAAATATAGCAGAGTTTTTAATCAACCCTTCCTAAGATTTATTAAGTTAATAACCCATAGTTACTTTTATTACAAATCATACTGTTTTACATGAATAAAATACATGATTGCATGAATCAAATATATTTCAACTAATATTTAAATATAAATAACTAATGACATATATAAATAAATAAATTGCATTTGAAGTTTTCATAATAAATCATAGCACTTAAACTTCTAATAAAAAATATACTTTAGACACTCTGTTTAACATTTCGTATTTTAAGGAATATTAACAAAAATATATAAGAGACATTTAATTTTTAGTTTCACTTTTTTTGAGTCCACGATCTTAATTTTTATCCAAAAAAAGTTTAATATTAGAGTCATCAAAAAAACGATAAACATGTATATTTATACCAAATCTACTTCAAAATAATCAATGAATTATTTTTTATCCATTACAAATAATTAATTTTTGTATTCGTTCTGTACATGCAAGTTTCGAGTGATTAAAAAATACAGTCGATATCATTATGTAGAAAGATAATTAGGAAAGCTGTTTGTATAAGATTATTACAGTGTCACAAGTGGAGAGTTTAAAAACATCAGAAGTGTGGCTTGATATGTAGTTGAAACCGGTTTATCTGAGTCGTGCTGAAAAGAATTCCTCTTCAATAACTTTTGTACAGTTTACAAATCAGTTCTTTGGTATACACCTCGTATTCCACGATGCCGGTACGTAAAACCTTGTACATCATCAATATTATTAATTTATATTGACAAAATTAAAAATTACTTTTTTCCAATACTTTATAATACTTTGCTTAATATTTTATGGATAATCTTTTTGGTTATGTTGCTTCTACAAATTAATATAAGTTATTTTTATTCACATAAATGTTTATCAACAATAAATATCTAATTTTCAAAATTAATTAATAACGTATTATGAACAATCACGATAATTCTTCTTAAAATTAAATATTAATACTGTAATTTATTTTGTGATATTAATATTGAATTTATTTTTAACAAGTCATCTAGTTATTGATTTTAAAAGTTCTCGTTGCGCGAGATAGTCTAAACAAGATGTACATCACAATTATTAGATAGTTAAGATAGACTGCTTTATATCGATATCTACTATTTTGTTTTGATTGATGTTTGTGATAAGTAGATTTCCTAATTTGTGAGACACCAATTGTACAAGTATACATACTTGAGTATAAACACTTGAACCTCATTTTTAAAATGTAACCTTTTTCAGAAGATTTCATATTTTGATATATTAATTTTAATTTTGTGTATAATTTAGTATAAACAATTTTCATTAAATGTTTCTTTAAATGTTAAATTGAAACTATAAGTTGAAAATACGAATATGTAGTAAAAAGTCATTGTGGAAACCTTAAGGATGCAGATTTACATATTATTGATAAATGAAGATAATTTATCAATTATAGATTGCAATTCGCTTAACTTGACCTTCCTTCATATGTCAAATCTTCATAACACTCATTCGATTCTCATATGTCACATAAAAAATAAAACCTAATGATATTTGACTTTGTAATTATAATTGTTTAAGCACCTTTAATAAAAGTCCATTTTCACGTTAACATGACATTCAATTAAAAAATTATTGAATTCTAAATATTAATTTGTGATTAAATCGAAAATAGCATAGGAGTTTAATTGAAAACTTAAATTTAAATTTGCGAATGTAAATTCTTTATTATACATTATTACGACAAACTTAATTAATTTCTAATTATAGAGAATACCGTTCACATATAAAGGTCTTATCGTCCCCGTCTTTTCACCGTTTAATAATGACAGGTAACATTTTTCATGTTTTTATACAGCGAAATATATAAAACAAAATAAAATAATAAACGAGTCAATATTTAAACATTATTCGCTTTCTAGATACTTGTATAGCCTGTTTATAAAAATTTAATCTTTATACAAACGTTTAAACTTCAACTTTATTTCGCATAATTATTACTTCATACTAATTTTGTGTCAAGTCTTTACGCTCACGAATTTGACATAACACGATCAAATGCAGTACGATTTAAAAAGACCTTCTGTTCAACTAAAGTTATTTAGTTTTGCTATTTTGCTGTTTAATTTTAGTGTAAGGAGTCTAAACTTGTCAGTTGTACCGCAGTACGCCAAATATTTAGCTTCAAAGAAAGTTAATGGAGTTCTTGGTGAGTAAACATCATACATATTTTACTTTCAATATGTTTCAATATGTTTACTCAAAAATTCTTGGACCAATGATCATAGCAGTCGAGGCCCATATAAAATTAATCAATCAATCAATCAAAAATTCTTTCTATAAATTTTGTGCAGTAGCTGCACACAGAAATCATATATGCATGCATGTAAATATGTAGACGGATGAAATACAGTATGTATAACTGTACAATAACATATACTGTAAAATACAGTATATACATATACAATATACTGTAACTCGCTGTTGCTCGCTGCGGGGTTCTCCACTTCTCAGACCCCTTTCAACCACCTTCCTACACCTTTGACAATTTTTTTTTTAAGATTTTTGCCCATTTTAAAAAAGTTTCTTTCTCTGACAAAAAACCATATCTACCATAGTTTTGTCTGTACCTTCATGCAGATTTACATGTTATTGATAAATGAAGATATTTTATCAATTATAGATTAATTCACTTAACTTGACCTTCCTTCATATGTCTAATCTTCATATCACTCATTCGATTCTCACATGTCACATACAAAACAAAACCAAATCTTCATGTGAGTGAGTGTGGATGGAGTCTTATAATATTTTTATGTGAACTGTAAAATAATAATGTGTTGAAATGTTTCATGACTAATAGTCAATGGAACAACTGGAGAAGGTCCGTCCATGTCTGTAGGCGAGAGGAAGTTACATGCTGAAGCATGGGCCGACGTTGTAAAAACGACAAAACAACATTTGATGATTCAAGTAGGAGGTGCACCGCTTCCCGATGTTCTTGAACTCGTACGTAAATAATATTCACTACCATAAAATTTATATGTAAATGAAAATCTTTTTACCTTCATAAGATTTTGTATGCAAATCTCTTCACTATCGTAAGATTTTATATGCAAATCTCTTCACTATCGCAAGATTTTGTGTGCAAATTTTCAATGTTTATCGGCCATTATGAATGCGGATTATACAATTTGAAGTAGTTAGAGTCGGTTAGATATAAACCGTATCCTATATGATAATAATTGGAATAATAGTTTTTTCATTTTTGTAGCTAATGATCTTCAGTTTCTATCGTTTTCATTTGAATTTCATTTTGAATTTTCATTTTGAATTTCAATTGTGGGTATTAATTCTTATTATTAATACCTCCCTGAAAGAAATAATGATCCTGAGAAAAATAATTGCAATCTTAACAGAACATGAAGAATACTTTTCTGTAGGATGTAAGTCGACTCCATAAGACTGATACTATTTTTAATAATTTTATTTTGAAGAAAGTAAAAAATATACGTGAAATATCAAAACTCATATAAGATGAAATCTGTCGTATTTAATTAACTATACAATAAGAAAAGTAAAAAATAACAAGGTATATTCAAGAATTAAAATATCCAACTGTTTTATATTTTCAAAATTGAATCTCAGATTCCGAAACAGTAAACAATTTCTTTCATTTCTATTATAATGAAAAATTTGCATTTGAAGAAATTAAAGATAATAATAGATATCATCAAGAACTAAAATATTTGGGCCAATGATTATAACAGTCGAGCATATAAAATCAATCAATCAATCAAATCAACTAAAATATTTAATTACGAATTGCTTACACGTATATTTTGAAAATTACTGAAGTTATAAAACTGGTGAACGATTTTTTTCTTTCTGTAGAAATAAAATATTTGCAGTTTGCAAAGCGCACATCCTATATATCAGTATCTAAATTTATGCGATGTAATATAAATCAATAAGGCACGTACAAACTTGTGATGTACAAACAGTTGTTCAGCTATTGTGGAAATGTCCTCTTCGTTGTTCTTATTTATAAAATTTGTCTTTAAGGCAAAGCATGCTGAGAATATCAAAGCAGATTCTATACTCTGTCTACCGGAATTATATTTCAAACCATCATCCCCAGAACAAATTATCGAGTACTTAAAATTAGTCGGCTCTGCAGCACCGAGTACACCTCTTCTTTATTATCATATTCCAGTACTCACTAACGTTAATGGTAAGATAACAAACAATATACTTTACAATATTCATTAAAACATATTAGAGCTTGTAATATAACCAATGCAATGATGTATTATTTATAATATAAAGCAAGAAAATGACACTTTATTTTATAGTCTATTAACACTAAAACTATCAAACCGGTCAAATGATCGCTCCACAAGTTTCTTATTATAAGACACACATTTTGTTAAAGTACGTTCCTTGAAATCAGCATTGATTTTTATCAAGATAAAGACTAAATGTGTGTACTAATTTATGTTTTATCGTTTCTTTATTTATTTTTTAATTTGAAATTAAGTACACATTATGTGCCGGTAGGTTTAGTGTTAATCACAGTGGCTGAAATCTCATATTCTATAATACAAAATAAAGTACAATATTTTAACAATTTTGAAATAACTTCAAATCTCGTGAAATACTTTTTATGTCATGTGCAAATGTAACATTTGCAAAATTTATTCATAATGCAGTATTAAATTCGTTTAATTAGATGACAATTATATATTCATAATGCAGTATTAAATTCTCATAAGTTATTTATTCATAATGCAGTATTAAATAAATTCTGTAAAATGAATTATCGTAAATATTTAATATTCCGCTTTTCCCGTGTGAAATAAATTACAAATTACGACATAAATGGACAATGCGTTTATAAAAATTATTTACAGTGCATATGAGACAATTCCTTGAATCAGTGGGGGAAAAAATTCCAACATTTGCGGGAATAAAATTCACAAGCGCTAATTTGGAAGAAGGTACTCAAGCATTAAATGTTGGTAACAAAAAGTATGCAGTGTTCCTTGGAAATAATCAGGTGGGTTTTACTTTTAATTTCACTGAAAACTTTAATAATATTATTTTTTATATTTTTTATAACGCTTGTAATTTTATTTTTAACATATTTAATGACTTTTATGATATTATTCTAATTAATTCTGTTTATTATAGCAGGTCTAAACATTTATTATGAGATGTCAGTATAACATTTATTATAACAGGAAATATTTGTTATATCATTTTCAATGTTATTTTACACTATATTTTCATTATATTTGTTTCAGACAATAAGTGCTGCCTACACATTAGGAATCGATTCATTCATATCAACAACCGCCAACATGTTACCGGAACTAGTACTCGAAATTATGGCCGAAGGGAAAGCTGGAAATATGTTTAAAATGAGAGAAAAACAAGAACTATTGACAAAGGCTGTGATTGCTACATCAAAACATGGTAAAAATAGTTAACTCCTTTTAATGTCATTTCAACTTTGAAAATAATGTTGATACATCATGCACTACCTTTTTACTAAATATCTAATACATTTACTGCACTTATATCTAATTTATGCTATAAAAACATGTCTGCAAATGGAACAAATGAATATGTGAATTATATTTGCAAAATTAAATTACAGGTGCTTGGGCAGAGAGTTCAAAAGTAGCAATGCCCTTATTGACCAATGTTAATCCTGGTCCTGTACGTGCACCATTGAGAGTTTTACCTCCGCAAGCCTCACAAACAATGAAGAAAGATTTTGAAAATTTAGAATTTCAAATACATGAGTAAATTTCACGCTAAAGCAAAAATAGTCAACCGTGTCATCCGATTGAATTGGTTGAGTGGTGCAAAAGAAGAGCGTGGACAAAAAAGTTGAAAAGTCAAGTACATAAGCGCGAGCAAATTCCATTTTGCATTAAAGTCTACGAGGATATGGTTTTTCAGTAATTATTCCTCCGCGGCACGCGCGGGCGGCACGCAGGAGGATTATACACGACAATGAGTATGCAACATCGTTAATTACTCACTTTCAGAGCACAGTCTATGAACTTTTATGATTAAAGAATGGTCAGCAATGCATTATTTATATGGTCCGATCATAAAAGTTCATAAATAATCTTCGGGTAATGAGTAATTAATTATTTTGTGTCAGCATTGAGATACATACATGAGCCGCCTATGTCAATTCTACTGCGCATGCAAAGTGCAATATTTCGGCACTTTGATGACGTAGTATGGTCCCTGAGGCATTTAGAAACAAATTTCTATTAGGGTTCGATGCGTTTTGATGCTTAAAAAAGCGAGGAAATCAATTTTTGTAGAATTCGGGTCAAAACGGTACAGGTGGCTTCATCTAGCGGCGAGCGGCGGAACTATGAAAAACTAAAATTTCGATTTTCTCGGAAAATAGCGAATTTTAAGTACTTCCGATGGTCAGAAATTGAAAACTAGAAAATTTTAAGTACTTCTGAAGGTCAGCAACTGTTCTATGACCTCTCTGGAACCTATATATTGCTGCAAGAACCCCCTAAAAGCGCTAGGAAAGAAAATAGAAAAATAGTCCAAAACATGGACTAAAAAATTGGCGTCCATCTAGCGGTGAAAGTTGGAACTACAAAAACATAAAAATGCTATTTTCTCGAAAATTAGCGAACTTTGAGTACTTCCGAGGCTCAGAAAGTGTTATGTGATCGTATTAGGAGCAAAATAATGCAATGAAAGCTTCCTAAAGGCTTTAATAACGAAAATAAAAAAAATGTCATTTTATGGAGAAAATTTGTGGTGCCATCTAGCGGCGAAACTGCGAACTAAACTGAAAAAACGTATGTCCGAACACGCCTTAAGGGAGTCAAACAAAAATTGATTTTCTGGGCTTAATAGGTAAAAAAATGAATAACTTATTTAACAAGTATTGCTTTAAAATGTCTAAAGAAGCATACTGCATCGTTAAAGTTGCGAAATATTACTTTTTATATTTTTCTTTAACGCGTGTTCCGACATATGTTTTTTCAGTTTAGTTCGCAGTTTCGCCGCTAGATGGCGCCACAAATTTTCTCCATAAAATGGCATTTTTTTAATTTTCTTTATTAAAGCTTTCAGGAAACTTCTATTGCTTTATATTGTTTCTAATTCGATCACATAACACTTTTTCAGCCTCGGAAGTACTCAAAGTTCGCTAATTTTCGAGAAAATCGCATTTTTATGTTTTTGTAGTTCCAACTTTCACCGCTAGATGGACGCCAATTTTTCAGTCCATGTTTTGGACTATTTTTCTATTTTCTTTTTTAGTGCTCTGAGGAGATTCTTGTGGCAATATATAGGTTCTAGAGAGGTCACAGAACAATTTCTGACCATCGGAAGTACTTAAAATTCGCTATTTTCCGAGAAAATCGAAATTTTAGTTTCTCGTAGTTCCGCCGCTCGCCGCTAGATGAAGCCACCTGTACCGTTTTGGACCGAATTTTACAAAAATTGATTTCCTGGCTTTATTAGGCATCAAAACGCATCGAACCCTAATAGAAATTTGTTTCTAAATGCCTCAGGAACTATACTACGTCATCTGCCTCAGGAACCATACTACGTCGTCAAAGTGCCGAAAAAATTCATTTTTTTATTTTCCTCATGTGCGTGTTCGCACCCTCATATTTTAGGTTCAGTTCACCCGTTTCGCCGCTAAATGGACGCCAATTTTTTAGTCCATAAACTGCACTATTTGTAACGGTTTGCTATTGCGCATGGGGTCGAAGTTCAACATTTCATAAAGTTCAAAATTGATCGTTAATTTCCAGGAAAGTATTTCAGCGCAGAGTGAAATTTTTTCACCCCTTAAACCTGAACGGCTCAAGTTGATCTCGATATGTCCAAGAATATTTTTTGAACAAAAATATATGTATAAAACTGTATATTTATCCGGAAATAGTGTTTTTAAAATACATGTATTGAATATCAAACGGTAGGTGTTTTGCAATATTCCCAATAACGAAAATTCTAAATGCGAGCAAATTTAACTTTTACATTGAAGTCTCTGAGGATCAGTTTTTTCGGTGATTATTCCTGCGTGGCAAGTCCGATTTAAAATTTTTTTTTCTATGTCCATCTCGATGTACATACGCATGTGGGTGCAAAATTTGATGAGAATTGGTTGAGTGGTGCAAAAGAAAAACACGGACAAAGAAGTTGCAAAACCAAGTATAAGAGCTTCGCTCGCCTTCTGCTCGCTCGTTCAATAAAATAAAATAAAAGGAAACTGTGTTTAATACTTTCTTCGAAAAAATTCCTAGTTATATAAATTATATGAATTTACAATTGTATATTGTTTAATAAATTTTTATTTATAAACTATACATTTATACAGCATGTTTTATTTATTAAACTGCATCACCTTAAATATTAGGAAATGCTGTATTCACAGAGTACACAATACTGAGTATTGTTAATGTATAATTAAATATAATATTGCTGTTTACAATATATTCCGCGGGTCAAAAGTTGTGAATTATCGGTTCAAAACAATTTGCATACTGCTTCCCGTCGATGACACAGAAAGTGACATAAAAATGGAAACAATTTTCTTTCAAGTTGCCAACAAAAATTCTCACAGATACCTTCTTTTACAAAAAAGAGCTTATTTATAAAATTTGATCAATAAGAGAGTATGATGGTTTTCCGAAGTTTCGCCAAAATGTATTTTTATCTCCAAATGTTGAAAAACAACTTCTTGTTTTGATGGTTTCAATTTCTTATTTGATCGTCAGATAACGCTAGATGTATCAATTCGAAACAGCGCTCGAAAATATGAATTGTATAATGTACATAAAACTTAATCTTCCAAAATACTTTATAAATTACTCTAAAATGAACCTTGTAAATTGCTTTATAATAAACTATAGTCTTTCACATTTTATTTACATATTAAATCTTCTCAGTATGTAAGATTGACTATATTTTACACATACTGTTTTTTATAGTTGATAAAGAACAACTAAGCGCGTTTCATACATGACATACACAATTACCCTTAAATTTATTACATGGAAGAAAGTATTACCACTGCATTAATAATTCTATTATTAATAGGCTACTAACTAAGAATTACTTGCGATAGATGGATGTTTACAATATCTTCTGATTATGCTTTTGATCTTCCTACAAGAAAATGGCAGCCTTAGGTGCAGAATGCGGAGATTTTCTAGAGTTTCAGGTATTTTTCATGTATATTATAAAATTATATGAAATATTTACTTCTTTTAACTGTAAACTCTGCCTTTTTAATTTATAACCTAAACATTTTGTACAAACAATATGTATCTCAGTTAATCTATACAGAGCACGCGCATACATATAATTCAGGTTACATGATAGTTCATGTATTTTATAAAGTATCTAAGCTTTAAGATATTAAAATTGACACTGCTATCACGTGACGAAGTGATAAAATTGTTAAACTGAATATTACAAAATAATATATTAGCATCTAATTTTTAAATCTTAGTTTAGGTTAGGGTACTTCTATAGTTAAGTCACTAAAGCATAAATCCAATATATCACATATATCATGTACAACAAAAATGTATTGACGTATGAAATGTAATAATAATTTATGTATTATAAATATATAATTATTAGAATATATATTAAACTTGTAAACTTTATTAATTTTCAATGTTATTTTTGCATATATTTCTTGCAGGTATTATTCTATTAAAATTTATTTTATGACAATTATTTTTGTTACAGGATGCATTACAAAAAATGCGGCAAATTGATGATAAAATTATTTATATGCTGAATGCTATAATTCCAACAGAGTCATTCAAAAGCCAAGTTGACCCCAAGGCTCAATGCAAGGAATTATTTGAACAAATTCAGTCAGGTCATAAAGAAAGAGAAATGGCCATTACAAGATGTTTAAATGCATCAAAAGAAAAAGTACAGCAATTGAAAGCGCAAAGAGATAATGGTGATGATAGCTTACAACTTCTTAAAACATTAAGGAAAGAACAGAATACTTTACGTTTGTTACAGTCAGAATTAGGAGTAGAAGAAATTGTAAAAAAACGTACAGTTGATGTATATCAAGAAAAATGTCGTAGTTTTTATAAACCTATAAATATAAAATCATAATAATGTAAATAATTATATGAATAGTTAGAAACATCCTTTTTTATACCATTATTGTTGCAGTTTCATTTACCATAACCCTTGAAGACACAATAATTTGTAACTATATAGTGTCTACAATTATAGAAACAAATAAAGATGTTTAGTAATTACATTAATAATATAATAAATATAAACAACTGGTAAATGTGAAAATAATGATTGTATTCTGTTGTTCATTTTTTCATAGTCTTATTATTTCATAAAATAGAATTAATAGGGACAATATAAAGTATATATCTACATGTAATATTAGACATATTTTTTACTGTCACATTTCGTAATCATTTAGTAATAATTAGAAATTAATTGAAATATTTTATATTTGCTATGAAATATATTTTACAATATTAATGTGGTACATCATTTTTATGTTACATATTTTATACTTTCAAAATAGTTCATATACATAAATATATTTTTACACTATAAAGAAAAAGACTGATTGTTCAAGTAGCATTGCTTAAAATGTGAGCAATATTCACTAGCAATACAAGCTATAGAAAATCATATTAAAATGTCACGCTAGATAACCTATTTTATTATTGCATTTCGAATATTTATAATAATACTGAAATACATTATTCTTTTCCTTTGTTTTGCTTCTCTGCATTCGCTTGTTCTCTTACTTTTTCATAGTACTTCAATCTTTCTGTCAATATATTTTTCCCAGATGCTACATCTCTCTTTCCCATTATAACAGATCCAATAAAAGCAGCTATAGAAATTCCCATCAGTATGAAACATACACGTACTCTTGCTTTAGTGTGTGCTTTTTGCATACAATCTATACTAATTAATAAAAATAGGTATGTAATCTTAAGGTAAGTAAGTAATCTTCATATTATAATTGTTATAAAATATAATTTATTGTTAGTATTATAAAATAATATATTTTATATCAAGATTTTAGACACCATAAATATCTAATATTTATTTACTTACGTTACTTGATCTGGAACCTCAGCTAAACTAGGAAAACGTTTAACCCACACTAATATTTTTTTATCAAGATTAGTACAAGTATGAAGAGGTGACCCTAAAATATATAAAATAAAATTGATTTTTATTGAATAATAATGATAACAATAAGAAGGTAGTTTACTTTTCAATCTTTCAACAATTAAAAGAGGTACTCTATAATTATTACTATTGTTTATCTTTCACAAATATTCATACCCCTTTCATTACATCTATCATGTATTGATCACCCTGTTTTTATTTATATACTCTTCTTATTTAACCATTTATTTTTCTGTTCCTTTATACCTTTCCTTTTAAGTTCTTTTAAATATTCTACAGCCCTCTTTTCTTCCTTTCCATTAACAACTTTTATGCTAATACCCTTTTCTAATTTGCCACATTCTCTTACAATGTGTTTTAAATTCTCAAATTTATCGCTGCAAAGACCATATTGTCTTCCTTTATTCTCTCCCCAATATCTGTTTTATATCTCTACCGATCCATGCCTTACTTTCATACTTTTAGCTAATAAATACTGTCTTTCATTCTCACCCTTCAGTTTTAAGTATTGTAAATGAAAATTTTATATAAATAAATTTTACCTAATATATCTTCTTCCATCCTTAGACTTCCTGATGGCTTATTAGCCTTATCAGGAGCTGCTTTCTCTTCATACTTAATGATAGTAGAATGTATTTGTCTAATTCTTAAAAATTTAAACTCCTTCATCAATCTTGAACAAAACATGCTGCAAATATTGCTTAACATTAATTATATTATTGTAGAATTATTAATAGTTAAAATTTGTATTATAACAAACTAAATATAATACAATAAAAACAAGTAGTTACAATTATTAAATTTATTATTTTCCATTCATGTACTATCATTACAATATTCTTATGAGAAATTAAATTACTACACACTTAATTTAAAGGACAAATATGAACAGAATATTATAACATAATATTTAAATATTAAAAAATATCAAAGTGCTAATACAATCAACAAATATAAAAGTTATAATACAAAATTTGTACTTTATACAAGTAGTCTTTCATAAATAATTATGTACAACATCATCGACGTTCAACAATACAGTATATTAGATGATATATTAATGTACAAAATATTTGAGCGTTGGTTCCGCAATTTGTACGTTATATGCCTATAAATAAATTATAACTATATTTTATAAACGGGATGTGAATTGCACTTAACCGAATTCTGTAACGGTTTCATTGATTGTATTTTTGTCATTTAATGCATTCAATATTTCGATTATATTAAACATCTAACTTTAATGTTGTGCAACGTGACAGATATCATGTATCTCTCATTCACTTACTTTAGATTGTTAATTATCAATTTCTGACGACGAATCTGTTGCCTTCTACCTCTTGCTCACGACTGACGCAACCCAGTATGTGTGAATGTTTATATACGAAATCGCTAACATTAATTACAGTTCAGCTTTCTAATATCCCTAGCTCAACTTTTCAAAATTTAAAGGATTTTTATTCTAAATTATCCAGATACTTCAATTCATAAAATATAATTAATTCGTATATTATTGGAGCGAGAAATATAAGAAACGATTTTGAGTGAAAGTATTTTTTTTCGAACGAAAGAAAAATATTTGAATTCAACATGAAGTCTGAAAAAAAGTGAATTTACTAACAATTCAGTAAAGGTGATTGTTGTTGATATTACTGTTTTACAGGTATACGGTTTAAACTATTTTTAAAATTTAGATGTAATAAAATATTATTATTTTAAATAAGTATATTCTGTATAATAAAGTATAGTATTTAAAAAATGTATATTGTTACGTAATAAAAAGTTTACTTTTATGAATTTCTTTGCTCTTGCAGTTTATTATTTAAATTTGAATTTATAAGTTGTGTATTGATCGTTCTACAGATCAATTTTGTCTTTACACGTGGATTGACCGTGTTCAGAAAAACTTGTGATTGATATTGTTCTACCAATTACTTTTCATAGTCATATATAAGGTAGACAATATAATTTTGTTCAAAGTAATTTTTTTCTAACAAGACAAATCGGTTTTCGAATTTAGTTTTCATAGTAGAGTGGTTGGACCGATTTAAAATGCAATGGTTCAACCATAGATCACCATAGATTAGTTTGACAACCCTTTCCTTGTGGAAGAGTTGTGTATAACGTTTCATTCGTAACCTATTCTAACCTAATCACAATAGTGTGATTATTAATTGTATTTACAGTGGTTTAAACTTCATTAAATGCTCAAAATATGAAGGTAAAAGTTTTAACAAGAAATCCAGATGAGTACTTGAGAGAAACAAAGCGTGATATTCATAAACGTTAGTTTCATTTTAACCTGTATAACCTGTAAACATTTCAATTTGTATATACTGTAGAAATAGTTCAGAATTCAAGATGTAGTTGTTAATAATGTGAATTATTTACAGTTCCCAGGAATTTTGATCCTGCATTACATCCGTTCGATGCAGCAAGAGAATACACTAGGGCCTTAAACGCAGTAAAGTTAGAAAGAGTATTTGCAAAACCCTTTGTTGGAAGCTTGGAGGGACATAAAGATGGTGTTTCTTGTTTGTGTAAACATCCTTCACAATTATCAATAGTTATTAGTGGATCTTTTGATGGAGAAGTTAGAGTATGGAATCTTACTCAAAAACAATGTGTACGTAACATTTTGGCACATGATGGTATAATACGAGGGATAACATATGGAGTAGATGAGAAGCAATTTATTACTGTTGGTGACGATAAAACAATTAAAATATGGAAATCACAAAACCCACAATTTGGTGAGGAAGAAGAGCCTGTAAATACTATCATCAGTAAAGTAAGATATTAATCATCTATGAAAATTAAAACTGTTGTTTTTATATGCTGTGTTAAATGCAAATAAACATTTTATAGACTATAATAACAGGAATTTCTCATCATCGGATGCAACCAATATTCGCAACATGTGGTGAAGTGTGTCACTTGTGGGACGAAACTAGGAATGAACCAACCCGTACATTCAAATGGGGTGTTGATAGCTTATATGATATTAAATATAATCCTGTTCAATCAAATTTATTTGGTAAGAAATATTATACAGTATAAGGCAAATTATTATGTAACAAAGTCATCTATTTCAACAAATATATTGCAGCTGCCTGTGCAAGTGATCGAAGTATAATCTTATATGATGCCAGAGACACTGGTCCCTTGCGTAAAGTATACATGAGATTAAGATCAAACAAATTGTCTTGGAATCCCATGGAAGCAGTCACCTTTACATGTGCCAATGAAGATTACAAGTATGTACTGAAAAAATGTTATATTACTTAGATAATTTATTAGTATTTTTCACTTTTCAGCTTGTACACATATGATATTCGTAAATTGAAGACACCTGTAAATGTACATAAGGATCATGTGGAAGCTGTAGTAGATGTTGATTATGCGCCAACTGGTAGAGAATTTGTGTCTGGTAGTTATGATAAATCTATTCGCATTTTCGAAGTTCACAAGGGTCATTCTCGAGAAGTGTATCACACGAAACGTATGCAAAGATTAACCTGTGTTGCGTGGTCTCTCGACAATAAATATGTATTGAGCGGTAGCGATGAAATGAATATTCGCGTTTGGAAAGCAAAGGCTGCAGAAAAACTTGGTGTTGTACGTTATTTAAAATTTACTTTATGTATTTTTCTCTCCTCTGCATTGACTAATGAAATACGTTATTCTAGCTGAAACCTAGAGAAAAAGCAGCTTTAAACTATAATGAAGCTCTGAAAGCGAAGTTTGCTGCACATCCTCAAGTTAAACGAATTGCTCGGCATAGACAGGTTCCGAAACACATTTACAACGCAAAAGCCGAATTGCGTACAATTAACGAGAAAAGTAAACGGAAGTACGTACAGTTATTGAAAGAAAAAATAATTAACATCGTTGTAGTATTATTTTTAAAAATGTGCTACGTATATTTTGTTTTATTTTAGGGAGGCCAATAGACGTGCTCATTCTAAACCTGGTTCAGTACCTTTCGTACCTGAAAGAGCAAAACACGTTCATCGACGAGATTTTTAATATAGGATTATTAACTATATCACAATTCTATACGGATTTAATAAAAGATATAACAAATTTTACCGTATTAAATCAGTATGGAGTTTTCTTTAAACAGGATAGATAAATCTATCCTCTGAGAAATGAAAAGTTTTCATTAATTAAATCTATCATACTTACCAGTTTATATGTCAGTGTGTGCATCAGATTAAATTACGCTGTTTCATTCACTGTTTATTGTAATAAATAATTTTATTGAAATTATACAACGCATTGCTATAATGATTCGTAAAACGTTACAAATTTGAAGCAGTGATTAATGTCTCGCTTAGCGTAGCTTACAATGATTTATTAATTTCCACTTATTTTCTTTGCATATTTACCTTATCAGACGTTAATCAATTTGATGATATAAAGATTATCCTGTACCTCGCTTTTGATGTCGGAGGTATAACGAATGTTCGTAAATTATTGAAATTATAGCGAATCCCTGTCTTTCTCGAAAATAGTAATAAGCGATTTATGTTTTTGTAACTTCGCTTCATCTACACCTTCAAAGTCTATACGGTACATATTACACTTCCGGTTGATTTAAATAAATGAATGCGAAACACGTTTTTCTTTTAATATATAAATCTTAATACGATAGAGAGTGTTGCTTGTTTAATTTAATACCAGATATTCGAACGTGGGTAAACTTCTTATTAAAATATTACTATTTCATTATTTATCGATCACCAGCTGTCTCATCTGTGTTGCTTTGTAGGATAAATCGACGGTACTTTAGCCGCTCGTTAAATCTGATTCAATGTGTCCATATCGTTCAAGAAGTACAAGTTTTGAGAAGTAGGTGTTTGTTTAAACTTTTATATTCTTGGGCATATAAAAACGGCACACAGTTTCCGGTTTTGTTCTTCAACATCTGTTAATACACACACATGATCATACATTTTGTTTTTTATTCGAATCTTTTCTTTTTCTTTAATATTCACTATGCGCACATAAACTCTGTACAAGACTAGTTTAGTCGTGTAATTAAATTACCACTGCAAGGTTATATTTTTTCGTCTTATCATTATAACTTCCATGGAATTCTTCGCTTCCTGTCTGGTTAGAGTTTCGTGGGTGCAGTTCTCCCCGATGCTGCCGTCGATCTCGTGTAATTAAATATAAGTAGTATTGTATAACAATAATTATAATTTATATACATATAAACACATTTACATTAATTTTGTAAAACACTATTCAGCGGCGTGATAACGGTAAAATCTCGAGAAATCTTTTTCATTTATTACAGTCGATCAAATTAACTAAAAATAGTTGATACCTAAATTGCTGAAAAATCATACACTAGTACGCTAAATTTTTCTGGCAACATTTCACCGGTAAATTTCATGTTAATATAATATAATTTCTAATTAATCATTGCTATTTAACATTCGCAAACTTTGACCCCTAAATGAAATTCAAATCGTTTCGAACAGAAACTAGTCAAGAATCATTTGTAGCAACATTGAAAAATATATTTCGTTCTTGAGATAACTTTCATTCAATTTAAACGCTACTAGTTCATGAAAAATGCTGCAAACAGTTGTTCTTCAAAAGTGATCACAGAGTTGGCGTTAAGATATATCAATACTAGACCGGGTCGCGCTACTAAATTGCACTGTGCAACAAATTTTAACTTTTTTAATGCTTTGCAACAGTAAATGAGCGATTTTTGAAAATTTTCATGCATTGATTACGAATCTGAAATTTTTATTCACAATATAATTGTTTAAAGTTTAAGTAAGAGCAAGAGGGGCAGATTGAACGTTAGATTAGGTCAGATCAGGTTACGTCTCATACCTACCTTATTTTCTAAATTGAAACCTAAATCTGTTTTATAGGTTTTGGTGGCTCGTAGATTTTATAGATATTTCTAAAATAAAAAATATGCAAAAAATTAGCAAATATCCCTCGTTTTAAAGATTTTTTAAACATATTTGAACGTTGATGTTATAAAAATATATGATATGTATAATTTGAGAGTGTTTTACAAAAAGCAATGGTGATTTTTACAGTTAATTAAAAACTGTTCGTACTAGATTTTATTAAAATTTCTCAACTGATAAAGAGAAGTTCGCAATAAATGCATGAAAATCTGCAAGAACCACTTACCGGTTGTTGCAAAACAAAATACAAGTTGGGCAGTGTTATTAGCAATTCAATTCAGCTAAATCCACACTAGGTTTTCGCATGTTCAACGCAAACTCTGCGAATTGATCTACGAATATGGAATAGGTTTCCCTGCTGCGCGTCCTCTGACTTTTGATTCGCTCTTGTTTCCGTTAATAGTTGCGATCATTAAGTTACTTATACCTAAGTGTCTTATTTCTATCGATGACTTATGAATACGTATCACCGCCCGAATGTACGGCATTTTTTTCACTCTCGAATACGCGATGCATTATCAAGAAATTCCTTAGTTAATCGACGTACACGGTATACATAAAATGACGTGGAATTCAAGGTGAAAATATACTTTGATGATTCTGTAGGTTTTTTCCTTTTCTAAAATCGTATTACGTCAATTGGTGTACTATGTTGGAGAACGTATTTCAATTTCTCGTCGTCCCTCGGAACGAATTCACTATAGTTGCTCGATTTGAAAGAGCATCGGTGAAAGTATCGATTTTTTCCCCCGATCTAACTGCGAGCTTTATTCTAGACATTCAGGTCAGCCATCATTTTACGGAAGTCGGCTAAGGTATTGTAATCGGGATCCGAATCGATGTCTGCGAAGTCTTTGTTAGAATCGCTTTTCACAAAGCTGGGGTTGTATCGACTTAATGATAATGGGCACGGCAGTAATTCTGGCATCACCGAGTGGTGAGTAATTAAAGCAGTTAGGGTTGTGAATTCCTTTGTGAAGCCCTGGAACAAATAAGAAGAGAATGCTATTATTATTTATTTATTTTTCGTATTCATTTTTTGGGGGATTATATTTGGTATTTTATTAGACTCAACTTTATCAATTTGAAGATTTTTACATTTTTCAATTTTCGATTAAAAATTTTTTAATTTCCAGGTGTTTGAGTTCTACATTTCTTATTGTAAAAAATTCCAAAAGCTTTGAATTCTAAATTACCAAATTATTACACGCTAAATTTTCTAAATTGTCGAATTGCCAAATTCTCAAATTTCTAATTTGCTAATTTGTCGAATGTACAAATTTATAAATCATCAAATTCCTACATTCTAAATTTCTAAAATATCAAATTGTCAAATCCTCAAATTTCCATATTGTTAAATTGTCAAATTCCCAAATTTCTGAGGTTCCAGTTTAATTAAACTTAGCATCTTAATTTCTTCCAAAAAAGTGTCATCTACATATAAAAGTATCACAATTCAGTCATCACAATAATTGTAATACTACAAAAATTTATACTACGGAATGTATGTAATATTTAGAGCAATCCTCCTCATAATAAAAAAATTAGTATTTACTTTATTACTCGAAGAAATGTCAAGCTTCATGTGTTTAAATTATCACATGCCGTACATATCCGAATGTTTCATAGCGAGTCGCTACAGCAATGCAATTTCAAACGAAAAGAGTGGGGGAGAGTTTTGATTTCCCTGCGGTATATCCAACAAAACTCATTTATACTGGTTTCGGGGATTATCAAAGTCCACAAACCCATTTAATTTATCCTACAAGTTCAACCATTTAAATACGCATACTCAGATGGCGAAATGCACAACCACAGAAGCTTTGTATCTGCTTTGTATCCTCATTATGATGTTTCGAAACAAAAAGTTGTTGTCCGAACATATTACTCTTTGATGATGATTTACATTCAAGGTACTGAGCTACATTTGCAACCTCTCAACAGTGTTTATTTTATTCGCAAAATATTAAGTAGAGGACATTATGCGATATTTAAAAATATTTATAACGTGTAATGTAATTTGTATAACTGAGCAGAGTCAAACAGGAGTTAAAATTTTCATGTTTCAAAATTAAAAATAAAAGAGGTTTATTTTTAAAGTAATTAGTAAAATTGTCAACTGTGTTTATTCTTGTTTTCTGTATATGTAATTTATATGATTAAATATATGTATTAATATATTTTCTTATTAGTTTTATTTGGAGAAATTGTAAAGTCAAGAAATACATTATGTGAGTTAATAATTTTAAATACTATTAGAGCTAAAATACTTTTCAGGGTGTTAACAAAAATTCGGTAGCATTATACACATTAAATTTATAAAAGGTTTTGACAGTTATAAAAATCACTAATTTTAGAATTAAATTTTAGATCATGAATTTGTAACAATATACATTTTTTTGTGGAGATTCAAATAAGGAGTTGAAACGTGGAAAAATAAATTATTGTAATTCTTTTAAAGCTGCTCATTATTCATCTAAAAAGACAAGTAAATAAATAATATTGAATTACTGAACACATACACTATTCATAAATTCTTGTATTTATCAAATAAATTCTTAAAATATTTATTAATCTCTTGTTTCAATTAATACTGCCTAGAAGCATCCCAATATTTTTGTGTACTATAATATGTATTATAGCAATACACAATACACAATACTTATATATTGTATGTAATATAATTATTTTAGTATGGTTTTCAATTTGTATACTGTTCAGTTACTAAATGTTTGCAGACCAGTAAAACAAATTGTTATCGCAGAAAGTAAATTCAGAGCACGACAACCAAAGCGTTAATTACTATCGTTAAATGGAGACATTTAGTAGATGATTAAGGACTTTCGAAAGAAGGTGAGATTTACCTTAATTTTGTAGCCTTTGTTAGTACGCATTATGAGATAATGGGCTATTCCGCTTGGTTGGAATTCGCGTGGCACTCGAAGCGAAAGGGCATAACATCCAGGTTTACTGGTACTTTCCCGCACCATGAATGCTCCTTCCGGTTCTTGACTCAACACTTCCAACGTTATTTCCCTAGAATCATAAAAAGAATATACTCATATAACCAATTACGTAATATCCTGAGATTTGTGTGAATAAGTAGGACAAAAAAGGGAGTACGTTCATTCATTTTTAACAAATTTATATTCGTTTTTATCAAGCTCGTATTCATTGCTAATAAGTTCACATTCATTTTTAATAAGTTCGCTTTTATTTTTAACAAGTTCGTATTCATTTTTAATTAGTTCATTTTTATTTTCAACGAGTTCGTATTCATTTCTAATAAGCTCATATTTATTTTTAATAAGTTCATTTTTATTTTTAACAAGTTCATATTCATTTCTAATAAGTTCATTTTTATTTTCAACAAGTTTATATTAATTTCTAATAACATGCTATTAATTTCTAATAAGTCCATATTCACTTTAAATAAATTTCGTATTCATTTATGTATAGCTAACTGCATATTCATTACAATGTTTTAACATCGTTATAATTGCATTATGTTTTCTACAATTTTTTAAAAATTACTTTATTCTTTGTAGATCATTTATTTTATTCCAACGAAATTATGATACTTGAACAATTAAAGAGAAAATTTTTTAGTGCAGCTCGTAGATAAATAGGGGTTGAATAATTTAGAATAATAACAAAAAGAATATTCTATATCCATTAAACAAATCAAGACAATATTTTACATCCTCCACAAAGATAATAAAAGATAAAAGCATCTTACAATGTTCTCTCATAAAATCAGTAATTATTTATTGAATAAATAAACTTGTACTGAAACTTCTACTGAAACTTGTACTGAATAAAAAGGTGTCATTACATCGTTAAAAACATTTGAAAACTAGTGTCGCAAAAGTTACGTATAAAATGTAAGAAACGATTCGAACCTTGGTATTCCAGCTTGAAACCAAGGAGCTTTCCGTAATTCCGCTTCTTCGCTGCGGTTATTTAGGCTATCCGTTCTCTCCGGAAGGGGCGGTGGAGTTGGTGTCGATCCATGAGTACTTCCGTCAGCGGGTACCGAACTACTCGAAGTACTAATCTGAGATCTTCTCTTCGATTTAAATTCTGTTTCTGTCCCCGAACTCGGGGAGTTGTGCCCTATCCTGTAAATTCGACAACCATTATCACGACACTGCTATCACAACTCGTAACCAGCACAAAATAAATACTACACACAAAATAAATAAATCGATACAAATTTTCAATTCCCAATTATTTATAATCACAAGCAAATATTTACTAGTTTGTTCTTAATTTCTTATGTTAAAAATCGTATATTGGATTATGTTATTTTATGTATTTAATTAGGAAGATATTCATATTTAAGTGGGTCATACATTCTTAACTAGGTCATCATACATTCTTAACTAGATATACTTCATATAATATACTTCAGTCATCACAATACTTAGGTCATTACACATACTAACAATAAGTAATATTACTAATATGTTTAAGTAATACAAAATACTAATTTGAGTACTGTTCTACCTTCCAAATTACATAGAAAAATAGAAAAAAATTGTTTACTCGCTTATTTTATGTGTTATGTTATTTTCATCATTATGCCATTTTTATCATATGTTATGTTTGTATCACTTAAAAATAAGTTTCTCTAAATGTCCATGATACGAACATACCAAAATATGAACAAAACTCAGTAGAGTATAATTACCTGTTATTTTCGATATTTAAGTTTTTCGCGGTGATAGAGGCGTTGATAGTATTATCCAGGCTTTCAGACGGGGGTATCTTATTGTAGGCTGACCTCGTGCCCTCCGAGTCAATGATCGCCTCATTTATATAGCCCCCAGAATGCGGCCTGTTCGATGGGCTCGTTGGTGTGCTGCTACCACTGACGAGGGGGCAGCTGTCATCCTCACCGTTCAGTCCAAGAACATCACGTCCACCTGTCAAACCCATCGCCAGCCGCTTTATCAGAGGCGGTTTATCCGTTAGTCTCTTGTACGAATTTAGTTCCGTTGGTGAGTTGCTCTCATCGCTGCTCGGTGTGCTTTGCTGAGAAATACTCTTTGGTTCGTCCTCGTTCGTTATGGGACCGAGGACGTTCGTGAAATTGTGCGTCGGCCGTAGACCCGGGATCGAATTTGGTGCCTGCGTTCACATAAAAAAAAAACATTCATTAAATTCAATTAACTCATAGAGAATGTAATCTGTTGCTTTCAGAATGTGGTTGTTTTAAGACCTCTACTTCTTATTTTATGTTTTAACAATTCTTTATGGGTTTTCTTTTCAACAAAGTTCTTAATCCCTTACCCTACTACATGTCACACATGTGAGACATACTACACTTGGAATGTGATAAACCAGACTCCTACTTTCACTGCAATTGAATTTGCAGTGTGTCTTTTATAATTTCAGTCTGAATAATCAGGTAAGGATAATCAAGATAATCTGTATAATTAAGGTAAAATGTGCTTAACATTTTAACTTTAGCTGCCTTAACGTTGTAGCAATAATTAGATAGTTGTGAATGAATGCCCAAAAGCTTGTGGATTAAGTGATTAATATTTGGTTAACATTTAAGCTTAAAATGTATAGTAATATTAGTGCAACTGTTCATCAAATTTAATACTTAATTACGTTATATTTTTATGTGGACATAAATTTCTGACATACAGGACTTAGAGTTTAGACCCTAGATATCAGGCTACCCAAAGACTATCAACATCTTCAAGAAATAAATAAGTTGTGTGGAACTTAAGTGTGATATTGACTTCCTGCTACGCCTCTAGAGCCCCTGGCGCAGGAAGATATCGCAACACTACTGTATTCATCACACAGTAGGGAACAAAATGAGTGAATTTACCTTCACGCTGGCGAGTCGCAGCGTGGGCGAGCCGGCACTGCCGAGTTGCACGTTCATGTCCGCCGCAGACGAGCCGCTTCCACTTCTGGACGTGGGCGACGTCCGACTTTTTAACCACGAATTCGAAGATGAATTCCTGCAAATGCTTTCCGCGCCGGCAATCGAAGTGTCGCCAGCCAGCGATTTGTTCTGTGGACAGAAAGAAATCAATCGTTAAGCTCGAAATGAATTGTGCTTCTGTTGGTAACAACAGAACACAATGGGGAAGAAACAATTATACAAAAGCTTCTTTATTTCAATTTTAGAAGATGGTACTTTGATTTGGCTCTTATTGATTGTTTATTTACTGTTCTTTAATTTTATGTAACTGCTTACAGTAAAGGGAATAGGTCATAGATAGGTTAACTAAGGTTCATTAAGGTTTCAATGCAATGAATGTGGACACCAAACAAGTTTAGCAAAGTTTTGATAATGAAATCTCGTACGAAAATATAGTAAATGATTGATACTGTCGACTCCTTTTCTTATGTGCATAGGTTAAGTTGAAGAAGTTAAAGTTAAGCTAATGGTTAGTGTAATATATATTACTAGTTAACAAATCGAGAAGGTACAACGTGTGAAAGAACTAATGTTATTAATTACACCGTGTAAATCAAGTTTCTTGTTAAACGTTTAATTATTCGAACACAATGGTCAAAAGTATGAATTTCATGAGAAGATAATTAGAGCTCGAACATGTAACATCTCAATTAAAATTTACATTTCAAAACATTGTTCCGCCGCGTTAAACATGATACACGTATGTTATTATAATAAATTATTTAATTTAATGAAATACTCGAAATTCAAAATACTAGCCAAGCTAATACATGTAATTCTTCACGGTACATTAACACGTCGATAGTTAAAAATAACGAAGAAATTTAGAAACAAGAATAAATTTACCTATAAGCAGTTTAAAGTTGCTCGAAGAGAAAATGAAATTGCGAGTGTAACTTGTCAGACAGGAAATGTCAGGCGTCTACAGCGGTGATTTCGCTGTTTGCTTGGTGATTTTAACACAAGAGCACAGATTGGAAGGTAGGTGACGAAACTTGGAAACCAATGAATAGTTTATCAATAGGATCTTACGATTCCCAGGACGATTGCGTAGGTAGAACCAGCGGCCATGCCGCGTTGAACTGACCGTTTACTTGGAAACGCGACGGAGCCGAGAGACTCGGGTCGAATTTATAATTAACGCGGCCTGTAAATGGGACACCTCTTCTGGAAACTCATGCTACTATAACCTGATGGTAAATTTTCCCTTTTTTATTTCTCATACTTATAATACGACGTCCGTGTAATAGCGACTCGGGTATAGGCTCTGTGGAATTGTACCAACCCCTATTCTCACTTGATATTATTTAGAAGTTCTTTTTTCTTTAGTACTTTATGGATTTTGTCTAGTTTCTCAATTTTTACAATTTTTACAATTTTTATAATTTTCACAATTTTCTCAATTTTCTCAATTTTCTCAATTTTCTCAAATTTCTCAATTTTCTCAAGTTTTTCAATTTTCTTTTCATACATACTTGTTTTTCTTTCACACAAGTTTAAAGAGAAGGCTAAAAATATTTTAGAGCAGCACCTCAATTAAGTTTAGCTACCAATCACTACTTATATACATGCAGACATCGTTAAACTTGTACTGATAAACAAAAATACAAATACTTTTGTCTTTAAAAATTCTTAAAATTGAAAATTTGCAAAAGTTCCTTAGGAAAGTCAGATTTACCCGTGACAGTACATCATTGTTGAATGGGTTGTTCATTTTTTGGGGTTAGGTGAGTTAAACATTGTCCTAACTTCTTCTCAACTTTTCAAAAATGGCGGGATACATTTTAATTCATCGAGAAATTGAGGTTACAGTTTAATAGAACTGGTCAGTTTTCAGTTTATTTACAGATTAATTCTGTTTAACTTATATTTTTATTCTTTGAAATCATGTCCCCCAACAATAATTGATGTGTCGAATAAGTTACACAATTTTATAATAGAATAAAGGTTTCAAGAAGTCACGTACCCAGGAAGATCGATTTTCTTGTTTGTCCTTGCGGTAGGATGGCGACGATTGAGGTGAGATCACATCTTGAAGAATCGGTTGACGCTGAAGTTGCGCCACGTATGCCATACGAAAAGCATTGCCGACGATGGTGTTTAGCTCCTCCGCCTATAACACAACAAAAATATTTGCTTTTAAGCACAAACAAAATTTTTCATTCGATAAACACAAAACATATATTTAACCTTTAACTTCATCAAAATAACTTAAATTAATTTTATCAAAATAACTCCGCTGGGACATTTCATATCCTAGCCACTAAAAATATTTCTTAACCTTTAACTTCATCAAAATAACTTAAATTAATTTCATCAAAATTACCACATTGAGACATTTAAGATCCCAGCCACTAAAAATATTTCTTAACCTTTAACTTTATCAAAATAACGTAAACTAATTTCATCAAACTAACCACATTAGGACATTTCAGATCCTAGCCATTAAAAATGTTTCTTACAAAACTACTCATAATTTTAACTTGAAAAAAAATTATAAATAATCCTTGAAAGTTATTTTAACAAATTTCGCTGACTTCAACGTTGAACACGAAAAAATTCACAAACGTGAAAAATTGGAAAAATGACGATGTTCACAGAAAAATCCCTTTTTCGACTTTAATATAGAGCTAAAATTTCAGCTGAACTGACAACAGTTAGAAGAGAAAAATAGTAAAAATTTCAAAAAAGGATACTTATTCAGATTTTCAGGAAAAAATTGCTAAAAAATTGAAGCTGCAGTGGCTGAGGTAAATACTCCACTGTGATCATTAAAGGTTAAATATAAATAACAAATAAGAGTTCTAGTAATATAACCATTACTAAATGGTGAATTGAATAAATAATCATTTTCATGTTTATAAAATTTTCTCAAATAAAAATTGTAAGAGGTTAATTAGAGTATAAGTTTTCTAACAAGCATGTCACTGTTCGAACTCTCCGATGACTATCATGAAATGGACACGGTGTTTCATGTCCGACTTGCCACGATTCCGTGTGGCAGAGAGAAAACGATAGTAGAAGAAAAAGAAAGGAGAGCCTGGAGTAATCCATACGTCACGGTTGAGAAGAACAGTACCGGAAGTGGGGTCGATACGGAAAATAAACGATGCGGAGAAACTTTACATGTGCCGAACGGATATGTGAAGAGCGTGCACTAAAAAGAGAAGGAGAACGATAGGAAGAAAAAAAACGGGGAGAGCGGTAGAATGAAAAAGAAACGAGGATAGATCGTGAAAATAAAGGGGGTAGACGATAAAAAGAGAAAGAAAGAACGATTAGAAAGATGGGAGAGAAAATTATATCGGATATCATCGGCGGTTGCGGTTGACATTTGTTTAACCGATATTCAAGCTGGGAACCGAATACGAATGCTATTATGACAAACGTATTGTCTGCGGCTAAAACGCGATATATTTGATATATGCATTTTAGGTAGAGATATGATTATGGGGATATTGTATTAATATCGTATTATTTGCATTTGGAAATTAGGAAATTTGTGGATTTAGGCATTTAGAGTTCGAAGATTTGGTGAAGTTAATATTTAAGTTAGAGATTTAGAGATTAGTTAGAGATTTTAGAAGTTGGATGTTTGGAAAGTTGAAGATTTGGGAATTTATTAGTTAATTGCGAATTTGGGAATTTGAGGATTTGAAGTTTTGGATATTTATAAATATAGGAAATATAGGAAATTGGGAAATTTAAGGATTTAGGAATTTAGGAAAAATTAGAAATTTAGCAAGTTTAATATTTAGAGATTTGGATATTTGAAAATTTGATGCTTTGAGAATTTATTAGTAACTTGAAAATTTGAGAATTTGGAAAATTTGGGAAATCTGGAAATTTAAGAATTTAGGAAATTTGAGAATTTGGGAAATTTGGAAAATTGGGAAAATGGGGAAAATTAGGAAAAGTGAGAAAAGTGGGAAATCTGGAATTTTTAGGAAATTTGGAAAATCTGGAAATTTGGAAAATGTGGAAATTTGAGAATTTGGAGACTTTGGAAAATCTGGAAATTTGGGGAAATTTGGAAACTTGGGAAAATCTGGAAATTTTGGGAAATTTGGAAATTTGAGAATTTGGAAAATTTGGGAAATCTGGAAATTTGGGGAAATGTGGGAAATTTAGAAATGTGGAGATTAAAAAATTTAGACAAGATTAAAAATTGAGCAAATTCAATATTTGAACCACAGACAAATATTTGTATAAATAGGATAACAAATAATCCTTGAAAATCAATTATACATTAAAATCTAACAGTCTTAATACCATATGTAACCGTTAAGAAGTTTAAAGAATATTTTAAATGCAACAGCAAGGCGTTCGCTCAGTCCTATAACTGCAAATCAGCAGTAAGTTACGTATATTTATGGGATACATTTATCACTTGATCCTTTTAGGACTACTCTGAAAGGATGAGAAATGACGCTCTCCGAATGATTGAAATCCTCTCGTAATGTCCAAAGTGAAGCCTTCGAAAATAATTACGAATACCGTACAGAAACGCGATATTAATACTATACATGCAATTATAAGTAACTTATATACACCGTACGTTCATTGCACAAAAAATAGAAATATGGAAATGAAATATTTGCGCAAACTTTACTTGCAATATTTTCTAATTCTCTTCTTATATTTTACTCCTACGTAAAATATATTTTTAAAATGATTTCTTTATATTTTCTAATATAATTCATTTTTATAATTCTAAAATATAAAATTAGTTCAAAAATTTTTATTGAAGTGAAATATTTTTCTTTTCATTTGTCATCTTTATCTTCTCAGTTACACTTCATCCCCTTTCTAGTTTAATACAATTTAAATAATTATTTTGAATCACAAAAAATTTAACATTCAAATTGTCTAAGTTCATTTTCACAATAATAACACAACGAAGTTAATATCATTGCAAAATAGTAACATCATTGTAAAATAGTTTGATTGAACCTGTATTTTAGCATTCAAGTTTAAAAACTATATATGTCAACTCAGTACAGTTAAACTGTCGTTTCAATTTAAACCGAAATGTACACCTAGAGTGATGAATTCGTATCAGTTCCATTTTCTTTTTCACTTTTCGTTCCCTAAATCAACTAGAATTTTCACGATAACATAGATCGTGCAGGTACACAGGACTTGATAACTGGTTCCATGTCCATAGCGAATGGTTGTCACTGGACAGTATTACGAATTTGATCCCGTTTCTCGATGCGATATCTGATGCTGGTGCACAGAATTCGCAGGAGAAATCAGTATCAATTTAAACCGTCTTTGGACCGTCTGTAATCTGCTACTATGACGCAAAAATACGTATCAGTTTAATTTTCAATTTTCATTTTTTGTTCAATCAATATGAGCACAATATTCATATACGACATCTACATAACCTCACATTCTTTCAAATCAATTATTTTCCACTTAACCTCATTACGTAAAAATATCTTTAAAACTATACTCATTTTTGAAATGTGATAATAAATAATTTTAACAGTAAAAAGAGATTATTTATACATCAAGTGTTCAATCAGTATGAGCACAAAACTCATATACGACATCTACATAACCTAACATAACCTCACATTCTTTCAAATAAATTATTTTTCACTTAACCTTATTGCATAAAAATATCTTTAAAACTATACTCATTTTTGAAGTGTAATAATAAATAATTTTAATAGTAAAAAGAGACTATCAAAGGTTTTAAATTATGTTTTATGACAAATATTGAAGAAGACTGTATAGGTATAATTGGAAAACTTATCCATCACAAAGTTTTTCGATCGTTACAGATTAAAGAGGAACTTGCGGCAGAGATGAAACGTAAAGTTCAAAAGTAACATTCGATCGATCAAGCTTTAAAATTTAAATTTAATTTCAAAGCTAATGGTGTTTCGCATTTAAGTATTTTAGTATTCAGCCATCTACGGATTTCTTGTCCCGTGGACAGGGTAAACGATTTTTTATCAACTTGCATAATTTTACGGGATCAACCATTCTTGCATAATAATTGCTACTTCGGTTAAGATGCTTACAGTTGGGCAGATCGTGCAGTGGCTTGCTAAAACTGAAAGGAGGATCCTTCGAACTTGATAAAGTCATAGCGAATAAATTCGCTAATGAGGTTTCTTGCGAACTAGTTAGAAATTGCTAGCGGACTTCGAGTGTTGCTTTATATCAGAACGTATACGATATGTTTTTAAATTCATTCAAAAATGTCTATCGCTTCAGCGCCATTTTATAACAATTCATAGTCTTATTTCTGAATTATAACAAACCTGGTCTTATTTGATAAAATATTTCTGTAATTATTTAACTTCCAATAAATTTTGTTTGAACTTTAAACTTTAGAGTTTAGAACGATAGATTCAGCTTAACTTTAATAAAGATATTAACAGACTTCATACATTTACTGATTTGTTGACATATGTTAAACATAAGTGAAGTCTTGTATTAAAAACTTGAAAGCATTTTATTCCTTCAAACATTTTCACATCAAAACGTAATTTTATGAAAGACATGAAGAATGAACGCTAGCAATTTTTCTCCACAATATACCACTGCCTTGTAGCAATTTCTTCAAAGCAAAAACCTGCATTCTGTTTGAGATCAAAAGAGCCACAAGTACGCCGCTTATGACGCTAAAACTCTTCTCTTGTTCGAAACCGATCTTCGCAAACGGACGATAAACCTAACAAAAGATTTTGTCAAAAAGCAGAGAGGGTGGAAGCCAAGAAGAAGACAAGAAAAGAAGTTCCAGACTGTAGTTAAATATTACATAAAGCTTTGCACTAGTAATACTCTTCAGTTGTAAGTACAATACAAAAAGGGGATGATTCAAGGAAAAAACTGTTCTCGATTATTGTTCTTTAAAAATTCATATTTCAAATTGTCGATTTCAATGATTTATTAAAATGAAGTAGGTTAAAGAAAGGACATCTTTCTTTTTAAGTATTCTTTTCTTAAGAGACATTTTTCAAGATCTAATTTTGTGTTAAATTTAAATTTTGCAACTTTAGTTTTACATATTTGAATGGTCATAAAAAATGTTTGAACACGTTTTAAAATAAATATTATGTATACACTCAATAATGTATTAAAATCATATTA